TATATAGTCACTGGAAAACTTCACTTTACCCATGACAAGTCTGGGTATCCTCCAGATGACCTTATCTGTATGTGCTCCTGACCACTCCATCCAACACAGCTGTAGACCTGGTACTAGCAGTCCTCAACTAGGTCAGGAGGAGGAAGAGCATTTCTCCTAGTGACTCAGCATAAGCTTGTGACTGACAAAAAGGAGGCTATATACCTATATGAGTCTGTGCCTTTATTTGAGGCCTGTGATTGGTAATTATGTGAAGCTGGTAACTGGTGGAACTGAAAGCTGTGCTGTGATTGGTGGAATTATAATCTGAGCACAAGTATGCCATACCCCTTTTGTAGCTATGTAAGCACAGTCTTTTCAGGTTAGTCTGGAGACTTCTCTCTTGCATACTGACCCCCTGGTGTTGCAATACTATGTCCCAGAAAAGACTTATCCTGAATGGTCTTTTGCTTATTTATGATCTTTACTAGTGGTAGAGAAAGCTGAGCTGGTTGTAAGAGAAGCAGATGAAAACCTAGAGCTTCTAGCCCAGGTAGCAATAAGGTAGCTGAAGAGTTTCAGAGAGTAACCATAGACAGAGTTCTGATGCTCAAAGCTGCAAAGAACCACTAAGAGCTGGAGGCCCTGACACCCAGGGCTCAGAGTTTAACACTCAGAAGCTGCTGAAGAGGTTCCCCCAGAAACAACCATGAACAACTGAATAGTTCCAGGGAGCAACAGGAAACTACAGAAGATGAGAGACTATGAAGAGCCAAAGGCAGGAGCTGAGACTACAAGGACTGCAAGTCCCTGCTAGATGAGTTCAAGAGAACTGCCAAGGGATAAAGAAACAAGGGTCCAACACCCAAATCTCTAGCTCTTGGGTGTGGGTGCTGTGCTCTGGGCAATAAGCCTCTGGCTTTGAAAGCTCACAGCCACAAGTTTCTAGTTCTCAGGACTTAGAACAAAAGCCTGTGTGTTTAGAAGCACAAACAAACAACTGTGTGCAAAGTTCTGTAGTTATATAGGGAAACTGCCTCAGGAAGGTGGTAAAGATTTACAAAAAGATCGCATTTGAATCAGTGAGCTTGGAAGATGAATATGGGTTTATTACATACAAAGAGGGCAAGGAAATTCCATGTGAAGGAAATGGTAGTGAGGTACAAAAAGACATGGCATATTTGTAAACCAATGAGTGATTTGAGACTCCTTAAATGCATGAGGAAGTATAATGGGACTGAGTGGTCTAAGAAGACACTAGTCTAGAAGATTCCAAGTTCTTCTGTCACCTGAACAGAAGACTGGACAGAAACACAAATTGCAAAAGAGTAGCAAAACTTTATTGACAGAAAAGGAAAGAAAGACTAAGGAAAAAGTACTGCAAAGGAAGCAACAGAACCCTGCCAGTTGGCATGGAAGCATTGATCTCTTTGTTTGAAGACCAATTTATAAGTTGTAAGGTGGAAAAAGTCTGAGTAGTCCTTAAGGAGGGGTTAGGGTGGCTGGCAGGTTTAATTAATACAGTTTTATCATATAACATGGGGTATTCTGCACATGTACTTATGCTAATTTTAGGCCTTTTAATTGTATGTATGGGATGCAGCCAATATTTATAAGATCCTAAGTAAAGGACTTGGTCTGAGAGATCAAATTGGGGGCAAGCCACCTTTACCAAGCAAGTCAAACCAAGAGGTGCTTCTTTGGACACTATCTTGAAAAGATATTTAGGACTGCCAGGATTTTCGCAACTTAAGAGAGGATTTATTGCTTTAGAGCAGGGGGGGAGGGGTACCTGTTTGCTTAAGAGAAGGTGATGCAATGAAAAACAAAAGAATGAAAAAGCAGCAGTTTTGTTGGAGAAAAAGAAAGGTTTTGGTCTGAGACACAATGTTTTTGAGATATCCAAATGGAAATATCAGTTGAAAGACAATTAAAAATGTAGGTCTACAGTAACTGAAAAACTGGATACTGGAAAAATAGATTAGATTAGGGAATCTTAGATACATTCAATCCACATTATTTGTAGATTCCACATTTATAAATTTGCCTACTCATTAGCATTTATTAGTCACCCCAAAACCAATACTGGCTATGCTTTTGTCATTCAGACATGCACAGAGAAGCAAAAATTTGAGATACCCAATGAATATTATTTCCAGCTGAGGTCATATAAGGTCATAAATACTCTGCCTTCTTTTTCAGAACTTATACTGTAAACAGTGTCTATTGAAGCTGTGTGTTGAGTGCCATATTTTTCACATTTTTGTGTTTTTGGTGATTTTGCTATTTACAAAGGCCCACAAGTGTAATGCTGAAGTCCATTGTATCTAAGCAGATTAGGAAATGGAGAAAATGTATTAGATAAGCTTGCATGAGGAAGGAGTGGATGTACTTGTGACTGTGAGTTCAATGTAAATGAATCAATAGTACGTATTACATAGGTGTCTTTACACAGACACAGATATAAAACAAGGCTATGTATTGACCAGTTGATGAAAATGTAACCAGAGGCTTGTAGGAATCTACCCATGTATTTCTCCCAACAGCAGTAATTCAGTAGTCAATAAATCAGTATTCTTGGAAACTTTATGGAATATGAATACTGTGAATAATGAGAATCAGCTGTGGGCATGGGAGGCATGAGTAGATGATATCGAATAGTGAAAGCATATACAGAGTAAAATAAGTGGGCCAAAGGAAGAACCCAATAACCATTATTATTTAACCATCATTATTTAGAAGTTGGACAGAAGATGAAATGTTAGAGGATGTGCAAAAGGAATGGTCAGGTAGCTAAGAAGAGAGTGTTGGAAAGTAGTCTGAGGAAATCTTGGGAAAATGAGAATCATCAGCATCAGGAGCTGCAGAAGAGATCACAATAGATACAGAGATTGTTTAAAAAAGAAAAGGATGCAATTTTTGAGCACAATAGAGCTGAATTTAAAATTTAGTTCTGCCACCAATTAGCTGAATGACGTGAGGAAATGCATCTTACTTCTCTGGTCCCCAGTTCTTCTGTAAAACTAACCCAGAGAGTTATCATAGATGATATGAAATTACATACAATCCATGAAAATTAGCAACTGAAAATATTCTGTATTTTAAAAACAAGATGACAATCTTTTAAAAAATGAAACAAAGCCATTGTTTCTTACAATGACTTCTGATCTTGGCCTCAGTGGTGTCTAGCATAAGTAAAATTATACAACTGTGAATTAAAAGTTGTGATGTTGTTGTTGGAAACAGTTTATTAGTCCAAAGTGGAATGGTGTATCTCTTCTTTCCAAGTCTTATGAAGATCTCTGTTAATATATGTTGTTATTTCTTGCTTCCCTTAATCGAAAAAGAGTCTGGAGATGTCAAACCTGGTTTTGGGTTATCTATTCCCACTACCTTCATTCATCCATCCATTCATTCAAGCACTGACTTAATGTACATATTCCTTCAGAATCTGTCTCAAGTCGACCATCTCTAGTCTAGATCTTTCTCCTGTTCACCATCCGATTTCTTGTTAAAGAAATACTAGGGATTTTAACACAGAAGGTGTTATTCAAAAGAATATCAGGACAACAAACAGAATGTTTTGTGTTTGGTACTGCTGTTTTCTACAGGGTGCATTTAGTCATTATAATTTGGTTTCCTCAGTTATAGCATGGCAATAACAATAATTACCTGGCAGAGGGATAGATGAGATTAAAAGTGGAATACATTGTAGAGAAGAAAAATCACTCCTTAACTCTTCATCTTTACCTGGGCCTAAGAATTAAATTGAGATAAGACAGATTAACAAGAGAAAACAAGCACACTATTTATTTTTTGCCGTGCTGGGATGGACTGAGGGCCTTGTGTTATGCTATACCACTGAGCATCCCTAACCTTTGTCTTTTTGAGCAGTGTTACCAACTAGCTCAGGCTGGCCTCCAATTTGTCCTCCTCCTGCCTCAGTTGGGATTACAGGTATGCACCACCACATCTGGCTTTATTTTATTTCAGTAATTTTTATTTCTTGTAAGAAAGTTTACATATTAAATGAACAAAGAATGGCAATCATGGGAAAGTACCTAGGAAGATACCAGATAGTTTTAAAAAATCTATTTGCACAGTCTTTTCTTGGCCTCACCGCCATCAATAGTGGTAAGGTTTCTTTTCTCCTAGAATATGAAGGACATTTTTTCACATGAGAGTTAAGTTTCTTGCTTTCAGGAAGAAAAAGGAAGGCCAGAGTGATCTTCTTGCACCTCCTGTTTTTCAACTGCTTTGAGCTCAAAATAATCAACCTACCAAAGGAGCATTTTTTTGAGGGGGATGCTCTAAACTCCAGCAAGTAGCATAGTGCAGACAGCAGTCACCAACATAAGACTGCCCTTCATACCTACATTCTTCTTGTAACACTTTCTGCAAAACTCGTTATTTCAAATTGCATATTATAATCTCTTTTCATCTTTCTTCTCTACCTCCCCCCATCCCTGAGATTGTGAGTTTCATAATAAAAACTATTTGTTACATTCAAGTGCCCAGGATGAGACAAGAGTTTAAATAAATCCCAGGTGAGTAATGAGATTCATTGTCTCCAGTTCTAATTACAAATAGTTTTCACAGTGCTCCTTACCCTCAGTACCAATTCACGCTATAGGGCTTAACATACCATCCAGTCCTGGATAGGGAAGATAAGGGAATTTGCTAAGACTACAAAGGTGAGGTTGCAGAGTTCATCTGATAAAACATCCGGAGGACGTTTTCATTGTTGAGTGAAAGGAAGCCGTCACTCGAGGCGGCTTTCAGCGTGTGGCAGCATGAAGGACCTAGGTAGAGATATTCTCTGCGCCATCCTCCCTTGACGAAAAGGGCTGGCAGGACAGGCGCGCCGAGCCGAACGAGAACACACGAGCGCGCACGCGCATGCGCGGCTCCGCCCCCTCAGTAGATTCGTTGCGCGGCTCCGCCTCTTCCACCGTTGCTAGGCAACCAGCCACGAAAGTCGCGGGAAGCGCGTCGGCGGGGTAACTGTGAGGCGGCGGAAGATGGCGGAGGGCGGCGGCGCGGAGCCGGAGGAACAAGAGAGGCGGTCTTCCAGGCCACGGCCCCCAAGCGCGCGGGATTTACAGGTCGGCGGGCTGCAGAGGCAGGGAGCTCGGCGGGCTGGCGGGGCGGGTGATGGATGGCACGGACCGGTGCAGGTGGACACCTTTGCCTTCGGCTGAGCCTTCCCACGACCGCATCTGGGGTAGAATTAGGATTCCAACGCCTAGGGTTTCCAGGGGACTGGATAACAAGTGCTCTAGGTTTCAGCGCTGGTGCCTTGCCGCCCTTCTTCCCATCCACAGTGCAAAAAGCAACTGTGGGATTGGGATGGCATTTTGTGGGGGTCAGTGAGATGGTCACATTGACACTTCCTTCGTTAGGAATCTGCAGGAAACTTTCTACGGTTAATCAGCAGCCACTTAGAAAGTAATAATCTATGCTGGCTATTTCTTCTCTTGGTTACCGTTTCTGACTTCATCACTTAAACATAAAAATTGTTCCTTTTTATCAAGTAGCTTTTCTTTGTTAAAGGAATAAGCTAAAGCAATTCATCCGATGGCTATACAGCCTAGTTGGAAAAAAAAAAAAAAAGCAGTCTGTAAAACAGTGTCCATAACAGGGAAATAAAACTTCATAAGGCACGTTAGTTAGCTAAATATTAGTATACTGCATTCTATTTTATCAGATGCTAACAACCACTTTCCTCATTTTAGGGATTTTTCTATCTTATAGGATCATTGATAAAATTCAACAAAGAAACATCTGTAAGGAGCTGTAATAACAAGTGAGACCTAATCCACAAACTTTGGCAGAATAGTTCTATTTATAGCTACACTGTCCTACTTTTTTGAACAAATATGTCTACCACCTGCCCTTTAAACTACTGCTGTGCTCTAGGGAATGCAGAGATAAATAGAACATCAAATCCATAGTTGCTGCTGGATGCTGTTGAATGGTGTGAAGTAAAGTTTGTTCAAGGTTGTGGATTAAGACTAGGCATCTAGCATGGGCCCATCAGACCAAGTCAATACAGAGTTTAATTGAATTAACAGAGCTTTGATTGGTTGCAGGTAACCTTCTAGTCCATTAAATAGTGGATCTGTAACCATCTAACTGGTAGATAGACCAAGCTGTTACCTAGTTGTTTTTTGTCTCCCTTCCCTTTTTCAGATGCATACAGTCAGATCACAATGTTGCTTGGAATTCTCAGAACCTGCACTGGTTCTGAAAGCTGCTCCATTTGAAATTCTGTTTTGTTTGGTTTTATTTTACAAGTAAACTCCTAAATTGAAGTGGTCCAAGGAATTTCCATTTTTAACAGTGTAGAAGTGCACCTTTTGGAACCCTTGTTGGAGAAATAGGATGTGAATATATTTAGCTTAACATTTTAAAAGGAAGTATTCATTAAGTGCCCCCCAAAACATAAGATGAAGAATTTGGGCTGGAGATGTGGCTCAAGTGGCAAGGCCCTTAGTTCAAATCCAAGAACCACCAAAAAATAAATAAGATGAAGAATTTGGAGAATGGAAACATGATTGTAAAGTTAGGGTATGAACTCAATGATAGCACAGTGCCCATAGTCAATTCATTTTTTGTTGTCTTGTTTGTGTATTGTGAAAGTTGACTACTTACCTAGCATGCATGAGCTCTATGTTCATTTCATGTACTGCAAAAAAATATACACACCCAGACCCCTGGGGGAGGGGGAGTTAGTGCAGGAGATGGTAATAGTGTCTTCAAAGAACTAACTTTGCCCCAATTACTTTTTTTTTTCCCATGGAGGAAAGAATCCACGAAGATAGTTCTCATATCTTTTCTACTTCCAAAAACACCATATCTGTTTTGTTTGGGGATTTTTTTGTTTTGTTTTTGGTTCTTTGTTGCTTTTGAGGGGGTGGGAAACAATCCCAAAGACAATAGTCATGCCACTTATAATTAAATAGCCTCAAAGAAGGAAAATTTTTGAATTGTTCAAAATATTGAAAGTGAGGGAAAAGCTGAGAATGGTAGTTCATGCTTGCAATCACAGTACTCAGGAAGCTGAGGCAGGAGGATCTTGCATTTGGGACAGCCTGGACTATGCAGTGAGACTGTTCCTCAAAAAAAAACACAAACAACAAGAAAAACTGAGGGGAAAAGTAACATATCAAAATAATATGTTTTTAAATTCTATTACAAGGACTAATACACTTTTGCATATTTTGTTTTGAAGATATCCAACTATATATCTACAGCATAATTTGGTAATACTGCTTTCTAAATGGTATATAAACCATATATATAATTTGTTACATTTTTCAGAAACCCATTTTGCTTAAAGTTGATAACCTGGTAGACTTTTTTTTTTAGCATATATTAATTGCACAAAGGGGTTTCACTGTATTTCCATACATGCATTGATCAAATTCACCCCTCTATTACTCTTACCCTCTTCTCTCTTTTTTTAGAATAGAATGGGTTTCATTATTTTTATTTTCATGTAGACATATAAAGTATTTCTATCACATTCAACTTCCCTTAACTCTGTCCCCTTTTGCGTGTAGGATTCCTTTAAATATCTTTAGCTTTGTTTTGTGTTTTTGTTTATCACAGAAGGTTTTTATTTGCCCTTCAATTATGAAGGATAGCTTTGCTAGGTACAGTAATCTATGTTGACAGTAATTTCTTTCAGGGCTTGAAAAGCAGCGTTGCATACCCTCTTTGCTTATAAGGTTTCTGTTGAGAAATCTCTTATTCTTATGTGTTTGCCTTTATACATGACTTGGCATCTCTCTTTTGCAGCTTTCAATATTCTTTCCTTGTTCTATATATCTAATATTTTAACTACAGCATGCCTTAGAAAGTTTCTTTGTTATTCTTCTCTGTTTGGAGTCCAAAAAGCCTCCTATACCTGGATGATTATCTCTTTCTCAAGATTTGGGAAGTCATCTTCTTATACTTTATTGAGTGTGTTTTCTGTGCCTCTTTACCTTGCATCTCTTCTTCTGTGCCCATAATTCATCAGTTTGTTTTTTGGATGGTGTTCCAAAAGCCTTATATGTTCTATTAATATTTCATCTGCTTTTTCTTCAAATCCTAATACTATTTTTTCAGTTAGATCTAGTCTGCTAGAGAGGTTGCAACTGTTTTTGACTTATCAGATGCTAATTGCCAGAATTTCAATTTGTTTTTGCTTTCAGAATTTCTATCTTTATTGAATTAATCTTTCACATTCTACATTGTCTTCTTTATTTTAGTCCTCTTGGAATTCATTCAGGTGTTTATTGCTGTCCTCTTTAATTTCAGTGATCATTCTTGTAGTGTTTTTGTTTGAACCGGATTTTAATTCAGGGCCTCTTGCTTTCTGGGCAGGCACCTACACATCTGTCATGCTTCCAACCCATTTTGCTTTAATTATTTTTCATATAAGGTCTTGTTTTTTTGCCTGTGCCAGCCTCAGACTGTGATCCTCCCACCTATACTTCCCACATAGCTAGGATTATAGGTACTTGCCACCATACCTGGCTTATTGGTTGAGATGTAATCTTCAACTTTTTTTTTTTTTTTTTGCCAATTCTGGCCTCAAATTGTAGTTTTTGTAATTTTAGCCTCTCCAATAGCTGGGATTATAGGCTTTTGTCATTTTTTGAATTGTTTGTCTGACATTTCATCTACCTCACTATCATTTGTGTTTGTTACTTTGGAGTTGTTGAGTTTTGGAGGAGTCCTGTTGCCTTGTTTTTTCATATTTCTTGTCTTTCTGCATTGGGATTTGTGTGTCAGAAGCCATTGTTGGTAGGAGTTTTAATCATTTGCAGTCTTTCAGTCAAAATATCCGCAGTTTTCAAGCAAGACATTGTAGTGGTAGGATTGAGGTGTTGATTATCACCAGTGGGCTGGGGGGTATGGCACAGCAGCCAAGCATTTACCCATTGCACCAGGCCCAGTCCCCAGCACTGCTCAGATTGAGGAAAACTAGCTGGAGTCTCTTATAAAAGGATCAGTTGTCAGCTTCTGGGCTACTTTTACTATAGAAGCTTCCATTCTTTATGTACTGGGAGCCAGTGCTAGTCACAGAGAACTTAACTGCCTGTGGGCCACGCAGGTTCCCACTTATTCTACAAACTCCGTATTTTGTGTCCCTGGGGCCAGCAAGCATCCAAGTCTGTGTGTGACCCCCACGTGTGTTGGAGAGGGGAAAGCAAACAAAACTAAATTCTGCATAGATAGGGAATTGAGGGACCTTGGCACTCTGCCTGCAAGTTTCAGTCCTTTCAAACTCCATCTAGTAGGAGTCCTGTATGTGTGACAGGGAGGCTGTGGAAGTCCCAGGATTCAGAGCATTTGTGTTCAGGGTGCTCAGTCCCAACTGGCAGCAAACACATGCCAAGATACCCTGAGAGGAGGGTCTCACTGACTTCAGACCCTCTTATCAGTTCACCTCCCTGCCCAGGGGAGGAGACTGTGGAATCACATGATTCTGAAGGTCAGATTTCAGGGCTTTCAGACCTATCTCATAGCCAACACATACCAGTATGCAGTTCCCTGAGGATGATCTCCGTGCTTACAGATACTGTCCAGCATATCACCTTCTTGTGTTTGGGAAGAGGTTCTGGAAAACACATGATTCAGAATACTTGAGTGTGAATTCCTACCTGGTAGCCAACACAAGCCAGAATGCATTTCCTGGAAGTTTGCCTGCCTTATGGTGGGGATGAAGCTGTGGCTGTGACATGATTTTGACTGAATACTACACCAGCCACAGGTTTAGTGATCGCTTTATGCCATGACTTGTCCCTCACCAGGGAGGGCGGGGTGTTACCATCACACTCTGTGGGACCACATCAGATACTTCCCCTTTCTGTGAACACCTATTGTGGCCATCTCCCACCCAGATGCTGCTGCAAGGTGTCCCAAGACCCCCTGAGTGTTGATTGTTACTTGTTTTTAAGCCCTCAAGAGTTTCTCCATTCAAATAGACTGTTTCTCAAAATGGTATCTTTGTATAGTCCTCTGAGATAAGAGGAGCAACAGAATGTCTTTCTTCACCAAGGCTAGCCTTCCATACTGAAGAGCATTCACTTCTCACTCGATCCCCATGCTAGGTTTAAGGCTTGTGGGAGGTGTAGGCGTATTCTGAAGCTAGAATTGCCAGTTTGTCACCAGAAATGTCAGGCTTACCTTGCAATAGGTCTCTCTCCAGTGAGACAGGAACAGGGCTTGAGGCTGTTTTCTACTTTTCTCTTTCGCCTTGCTGTTCCTTTGTGCTTTTCAACTGCCCTATCACCTGTTTCCTGATTCCCAGATTCTTCAGAATCTTGTCTCTCTTGTGTTACCTGACTCTTCTCATTTGCAGAGTCAAAACCATGGATACTTCTAATCCACCATCTTGCCCCATCTTTTCTGCCATAGACTTTTAAACAATACTTTTGAAATTGTTTTATGTGATTGGCTTTCGAAAATAACTAAGTGAAATTATTTTATGAGATCTGATGAAAGAACAGAAACAGTGTGAAACATCTTCAAGAATTCTTGGAGAATTTGAGGAGAGTCATATAGGTTCAGATTTGAAAATGATTTGTTGCCTAATACAGGTTTTGAAACTGTCAAATAGTTAATTGAAACTAATTAAAGTTACTGTAACTTAAGCTTGCCCTTACATAGATGTCATTTTGGTTAGTTTGATTCATGAGTTTATTTTGGAAAGGAATCATCTTTTTTTTTTTTGTAACAGTAAAGTTTATTAGGTTTGCACTTTCAACAGGTTGTATCTAGAGTGAGAACTACGTGATTCGGGGGAGAGGGAGAGAGAGAGACATTTCCTGTTCCCAACACAGGAAATGGGAGCAAAGACTCCAGGAATCATCTTTTGAAGCAACAGCCTTCATTGTTTCATGAGAAATCTTTGCCACTCAATTTTAAGATAGTATTTCTATTCTTAAGTTGTATAGAAGAATCTGTTTCCAGCGTTACACTTTATAACAAGAATCTTGTTATATAGTTGGCCTTGGAAGAATTATATGAAGATGAAGTGAAATGCAAATCTTCCAAGTCTGATAGACCTAAAGCTACAGACTTTAAGAGCCCACAGACACCACCTCAACGGTAAGTCTTATTTTAAAAAAATATAACCCTCTTAGCTTTACTAATTCCAAATTATTTTAAATGGCCTTGGGGATTTTTATAAATTATAACTTCTTATAAATGTTTGTTAGGTACTATTCCTAAAGTTTTTATAGTCAAAAAGCTAAAAGAAAATTACCTTAAATCCCTGATATTATAGTAGACATCATAATAAATTATATCTTAAGTATAATTTTTCTTGTGCACAATGGTTCTTCAACATTTTTCAAGTCATAAGACTGAATCCTTCCAAAACAACATTTATGTGCAATTTTATCAGTTGTTTTTAAGGGTCCAGATGATTTTTAAAGCATCCATGGAGCTTCTGTAGGTCTTTCTTCCTGCATTTAAAATCTGTAACTTTTAGGGCTGGGGGTATGGCTTGAAAGACCCTGGGTTCAATCCACAGTACCAAAAAAAAAAAAAAAATCTCATATAACTTCTAAAGTCTGTCTGTTCCTCTTGTATAATGCCTCATCTAATAAGTGACCCTCCTAAATTATATTTCCTGTTCTTAAAATTTCTGAACTTTAAGAAGAACCAACTATGGAGATTTAAGAGATAAGAATCAAGTATATTTTGTTACCATGAATATTTTTATTACCATCTTTTTAGCATTGCATTGGGGAGAAACTTGGATTCTCTGATGATGTCTTATTCTCAAAAAGTTGATAATTTCATCAAAAGTTGAAAAATTCACTAGATATTACTTTTTTCTCTTTTTTTGACAATATATGTTTTTCTAGGTAGATAAAAATGACATATCTTTCTGGTCCTGAATAAAAAGAAAATATTTACATTTTCTCCCCTATTTTTTTATTTTATGAATTTTGAAACCCATAGAAAACCAAAAGATTAGTACAGTGAGTAAATACTATATGCTTCACCTCTATTCACCAGTTGTTAATGTATCATAACATTATACTTGTATTTGTTATCTTATTACTCTGCCATTTGAAAGGAAATTATAGCACTTGACCTATAAATACATTAATGTGCATCTCTTAAAGATAAGCACACACTCCTTTATGGCCCTGACATCATACTACACCTTAAAAAATTACCTGTGATTTCATGATAGTATTTAATATATAGTTTGTAATCAGATATCTCTAGTAGCCTTTTCTTGGGATTTTAGGACGCAGCCAAGGACCATACATTGCATTTGGTGATTCTTACTTTTAATTTTTGAATCCCAAGCATTCTTCTCACCTTTTTGTTGTTTGTTTTGAACTCACCTATATAAATCTAAAATTTATTACATTTACTTTTTTTAAGAGTCTAAACCAGATGTCTCATAAAATTCCCCACATTTAGATCATTGTTTTCTCATTAGATTCTTATTAAAAACATTTTTGTCAAGAGTACTGGATAAGTGATACTGTCTGCTTTTTATTATATCACATTAGGAACCATATAATTTCAAGTTTTTCCACTATTGGTGATATGCTTACTTCATTAAGGTGCTGACCACCACATCACTGCATTGTAAGGTACAGTTTTTCCTTTATAATCAGCAGGTTGGTATCTTGGTACGATTTAAATATCCTATCCTATCCTTCATTTAATTTTTGTTACATACATGTATGTAATTTAGTATTTGTATATGTACTGTAGTATTTTTTAACTCCTTAATTTGTATTTTCTCCTGTTCCAAAAGTACTTAATATATATTTGTGTATCTCAATTTTACTCATTCAGTATTTGGCCTTTGTTTCCCCAGTTTGATCATATGTTGAATGACTCTGTTCTTATTGTAGCAAATCAAAACTTTTGGATTCTTACAATAGTATATTAATATTTTCTTTGCTATTCACATATAATTTTTAAGATATTTCAGTGTGAATTGTTTTACTTTCCTCTGCTGTCTGAAATAATGTTGTTTTTGTTAGTATGAGAATATTGGCGTTTTTGTTGAATTGGGGATTAAACCCAGGGCCTCACACATGCTAAGCACACATTCTATCACGGAGCTATACCCCAGCCAAGAATGCAGTTTTTAAGGACTGTGTGCCTCAGCTTTATCTCTAGAATTATTTATATATCCAATAGAATGAATTTTGAGAGATATTGATTGGGACTTAAATTGTGTTTAATCACTCAAGATACAATGCAGAGCAAATTATTGGCAATCTTTTTTTTACAAAGTATGATTTTTTTTCTAACATTTAACATTTTGCCCAGTTTTCATTCTGTCTCTATTGATTTGCTTAGTACAGAAAACAGTGCTTACTTTTGCGTCCACCTCCTTAGGCAGTTTTAGAAAATAACACAATTGTATGTGCCATTTTTGTTTATTTGTTTGCTTGTTTGTTTGAGACAGGATCTCCCTATGTAGCCTAGGCTAGCCTCAAACTCATGATCCTCCTGCCTCCACCCCCAGGTTCTGGGATTATATGAGGATCATGAGGGAAAAAAAAAAGAGTGATTGTTAATGGGAGGATTCAGTATTTTTAAACAAAATGGATCAAGCAACAAAATCGGGGCAAAAATCATACTGCAGAGTGTGTGTGAAAAGTTTGGGTCTCAAATGTATAATAGATCTAAGGTGAGAAGTTACAGATACTAGCAAAAGAGAATGTAGTCATCAGCAATTTATATTTATTTTTAATTGTTACATGCCAGGTTCATGAAATGATTTTTTTATTCTTGGAATTACTATGAATAGTTCTGTATGACTTGATATGCGGTAGAAATTCTTTTTATCTAGTGGAGCAATACAGTAATCACATGATTACTGAATTAAAGTAAAATCTGTTTTGAAAAATTGTATTTGTATAAGAAAAAAGAAATCTAAAAAAAATCCCTATTTTATCTCTATTAGGGATCAATTTACTCATTCAACACTTTTAGCGCTATGTCAGTTCTGATTATTGCTGGGGACATAAAATATGGTCTTTGACTTTATAGAGTTTAAAACCTAGTAAGGAAGCTAGATAAAAGAAGTAAGTAATAGATATAAAATTACCCTGTTTGTACCTTTGCCTTTTACTTTGTGATTAATATTACCACTACTTACATTTTAGTTAAGCGTTTTGAGTTCTTTTTCATAATCTGGAATAGTAATGGTATAATCTATATTAGACTAATAACTAAGAATTTTATGGTGTAATCTCTGGGGCAGTCTCTAACAGAAAAATAAGATGCTACATAAGTAGATAATGAGGAAAGTAACACTAGTTATTTGACCATTTCAACAGAAGGCAAAAAAAAGAGAATAAGGATTGCATTTAAAGATAATTAGATTGTAAATATACAAATTGGAAAGAAAAATAAAATTGATTATTTGCAATGACATGATGCCATACAAAGAAAATAAAAAAAGTTTGTAGTCAAATTATTTGGTTTGAAATTGTGTTTAGCAAGATCTCTGGTCCTGATAATAAGACCAATATTAAAACAATCAGTTTTCTATGTACAAGTAGGACATAATTAGAAAATTATATTTTAAAAAGATAGCATTTATTTTAAAAAATATCAGATGCATAAGAATACATATAACATACATATATACATATAACTACATATAATATACATATATGTATACATATGTATACATATACATATAATAACTGTAGACCAGGTACAGAAAACCTGTGATACATTTTTGGTAGTGACATACAGAATTGGAATAGCCATCAGGTGTGGAGACATGGGTCAAATGGTATACCATCTGCCTAGTCAGTGTGAGGCCCTAAGTTCAAGCCTAAGTACTGCCAAAAATAAACAATAAAGTATAGATATAATGTATTTGTTTTTTATCTGGTTCAACCTGCTTGAATGTAAGTTCCATTAAAAACAAAGACTTTAATTTAGTGCTGGACTCTTGGTTCATAGAACAGTATTTTGCATATAGCAAGCACTGTGCAAGTGTTAAATGAAAACATGGTGTCCAACATTGCTCTGAAGAAGTTCCTGAATTTTAGATACTTGTAGTTGATGAAAGCATTCCCAAGTGTTTTAGGAATCAAAAATTGTTTTACTGTTCTTGATCCCTCTGCTTATATTTAGTGAGTTAGTTTGAACATAGAGTATACTTTATTAGTAATTATTGGTAGTGTCTTCCTCCTTATCCAAAAAAGGAATAGCAAAAACATTCATGAAGAATTAAAGCAAAGTTGAGAACTTATGTACTGTATGTAAAGACTTATGCTAAAGCCGCAGTAGTTAAAAGCAGAAAGACTAACAATACACCAATGAGCCTAGGTAGTGAATTCAGAATCACAGGCATTCATAGTTGGCCACTTGATTTATGATAAAGATGACACAACAGAACAACCAGGGAAGAGAACTTAATTACATGTTACTAGAACATGGGGACATTTATGGGAGAAAAATTATTCTTGGTCTCTCCTTTACACAGCATGCAAATGTCATTTCCAAACGGATTTTGGAGAACAGTGAAACTTCTAGAAGAAAATAGTTATCTGCATGATGTTACAGGAGGCAAGAATTTCTTAAATTTATAATAAAAACTATTAGCCATGAAAGAGCTGGTAAATCTTTCCCGATGGCTGATTTTTCCAGAAAGGTCTTTCTTACCAAGACCCAGATAAAAGAGGAACAAACCATTTACTTAGCCAGTTTAGAGACCTACGACAAAGATGGAAGGAGCTATTTGATCCACAGTTGTTTCGTGAGTTAGTTTAGTGTGAATTTGTAACTAGAATGGCAAATAGGGGAAGTGAAAGATGTGTTCTTAGTCCTCTTGTACTAGAAGTCTCCATGGTGATACTTTATATGGTTATATTTTTCTAATATCCTTGATTGAAAAAAATCTTGAAAGGTAAAAGTGAGTATTAATCTTAGAGGAAGGAAATTTGTGTGTTCCATAGGAACATTGTGACGTTAGAGTCACTACATATGCAAGACACTGAAAAGACAACATGGTCCAGTTTACTTAATTTTAGTATGGAGGATTATAATGGAGTAAATCACTTTCTCAATCAAAATTTCTCTGTGAAATATACACTCTTTGTGTAGCCTTATAGTACAGAATTTGATATTTATGGTGACTAAATCTAGAGATCTTTTCACTGGCTAGCTTTCTTCTGAGTGTGGATTTCTTGAGGGGAGAGACTAGCTTTCCATTATCCATACTGCTTTCCTTGTTGCATAAAAAAGACCCTTATTTGTGAAAGAGCTGCATTTTAAAAACAGCCAGAGGACTTAAGGGGAAGCAAGCACACCACCAGACTTGCTGTCAGAATCTCTGAAAATTCATGAGAAAGTATATGAACTATCTCTAATTCGATCTTTTCTTTAGTTCCATTTTAAAAATTAAATATTTCCACAGAAGTCAGGAATGCATGCTTTTAAAATAAAATTTATTTCAAGTCTATGTACCATTTTGTTATAAAGCAAGTTGTCCTAATATTCTGTGTTTTTAGTCATGAACTATAATGTTTAAAGGTTTTATTCAGGTGAACATGAATACAGTGGATTACATATAGTTCAACCTTCAACTGGTAAAATTGTTAATGAACTTTTCAAAGAGGCAAGGGAACATGGGGCCGTCCCACTGAATGAAGCCACAAGATCTTCAAGTGATGACAAATGTAAGGTTAGTGCTGTTGTACAACTACACTGGTTCTATATTTGATCTCTGTTGTTTGTGTATGTTATTTACAAACATGTTTTTCTAACTATATTGTTTCATTTTATGAGATTATAATCTTTCTACTAATGATTGAGAGTTGAGACAGTAACTTTTTATTTGCTTTTGAGATAATGATAAATACATAGGAATTTGCAACAGGAATACAGAGTAGTACCATGTAACTTTCACCCAAATTTGTCCCATTACTTCCTTTTTACATGATTTTATTACAAGATCACAGCCAGAAATTTGATATTGGTACATTGCGTATGTGGAGTTCTGTGTCATTTTATCACATGTAGGTATAGGTAATAACCAACCTAATCGTAGTATTGTATATTGAAGGAGGTACCAAGTATCTTTTTGTGCACATAGTCTTATAGTCAGCATTTCTTAATTTGTAGTTTCCCTATCAAAATCATTTGAGAAGATTTTCCAAACTACTGCATGGCATCAGGTATTATGGCTCAGTACATTTGAGGTGTCCCTAGATAGGTAGCTTTTGAAAAAGCATTTCTGATAATTTTGTCATCCACTGTTAAAAATCACTGTTCTAGGTAAAATTTACATTTTAGTCTTCATTATCTGTCAGCAGTTTTAAATTCTTTCAGTCAAGCCTTTAGGTAATTTTAATTCTTGCAAGTTCTCTAAATCTATATAAAAAGCAATCATAGCTCAGTTATTACTGTTGAATAAAATATAGAACTTTCTTCAAGGTAATTTATAACCATTTATAAATTATTCCTTTACTCTGAAACACTTTATTTTTTCTATGAAATATGATTTAGTCATTTTAATTTTTATTAAAAAACTGGCTAACAGATATTAATGGTGACTTTTTTGAACCTGAATGTTTTGTACATATAATTTCAGTATATAAATGTATATCTTAGCTTAAAATTGGCCTAAATTAGTTCAACTTTTGAGTTACTAATGTTTTTATGAAAAGAAACTTAGTTTTTTACCTGAATATACTTCTATATAACATAAGATCTTTATTCTAATATAAAATTTCCTATGAACACGTTTAGCCAATTCCAGTTTATCTAGTTTTGCAATATATTAAGCATAACAATATTTAGATTAATAAGTCTTAGTCAATTTTTAACTCATTTGCTGTGCATTTTAGTCATTTACAGGTGGAGGATACAGACTGGGCAATTCCTTTTGTAAGCGATCTGAATATATCTTTGGAGAAAATCAGCTGCAAGATGTATGTACAGTAATCAAAGTGAAAATGTAGGGCTTGGGGGCATGGCTCATGAGATAGAGGGCCAAGCAAGTGCAGGGCCCTAAGTTCAAGCACTAATACAACCAAAAAAAAAAAGAAGAGGAAGAAGAAAAAAATGTATAGGTTTTTGCCTGTTTTTTATAAATTTAAAAATTGATGATTCTTTTTTGTAGTTAGTTTTTGAAGCATGGTTGAAGGATCAATATGTGAATTTTCAGTCTTAATTTCAATATTTCTCAATACTGTCTTGTACTTAGAGATTTATAACTATTTGGGAAAAGAATATATAATTCACCATCAAAATTAATTTACGTATATAATTATTTATGGTATACTGTCATAAAATACTTGTGTTGTAAATGTAGAATATCTAAAGCCTATGTTTCTGTTGCCTTAATTTTAGAATTATTTCTTAGTTATAATTAATTTTAAACATTAATAGGTTTTTGGAAGGTGACTAGAAGGTCAGTCTTGTTCCTTGGCATGAATATTTATGCTGTGGGGCAAAAAAGAGTATGACTACAGGCGAAGATTAAGTGTGGGAGTAGAAGGGTGGCAGCTAGGTGTTGTCTTCTGATTGCTTTATTTTTTTCAGTGAACCATAAGTAATTGTACACCAAGGCCAGGGTTCATCTGCAGGACCTTTGGTATTTGTAACCATTGTCAATTTGTTAAGCTAAAAATAAATCTGCTAAGCAAACACATGGTTTCATGCCTTTTAAGTATAAATACCCCTCTATTTTAAATCAAGTTGATAGTATAATATATTGTAAGATATCACATTTGAAACTTAAAATTGCTTAGAGATGGATTCTCATACTTTTTATTTCTATGACCAAAAGGTTCAGATTTTGCTTAAACTGTGGAGCAACGGTTTTAGTTTAGATGATGGAGAATTGAGACCTTATAATGACCCAACAAATGCTCAGTTTTTGGAGTCTGTTAAGAGAGGGTAAGATGTATTATTTGTATTCTATTTGCTAATTAGAGTGAGACTGGTTTTTTGTTTCTTTTTTTTTTTAAATTATTACTAGTATTCAATAGTTGGTTACTAGGATATATTATTTACATGATTGCTGGGGAGGTAGGTATCCTGGTTCTTTGTGAGGAAGGGACAATGGACGTTGGCCCCCTTTTAAGTCTGATGAAACTATGGGCTCAACTCCAAGAAGAAACATCTCAGTTTAAAAAGTCAGTGAATTGATTTAGCGTGTTCTTTCTATCCACTAAGGCACTATTCTGCTTACTGTTGACAAGGCAACTTTCACTACATGAATGCTTGAATTTTAGCAACTTACATTAGAAATCTTTTAAAGTGGCATACCACTGGCCAAATATTTCAAGAGGTTAGCTTAAAGTTATAATTTGTGATAATAAACCAGATACACAGTGCTCCTGACCCATCTGAAGAGCATTGTAACTCACTAGCCCTTTTCACCAAGTGATTTTGCTCAGATAATAAAAGCTATTCTGTATTATGACTTCACTAGCTGACAGTGGTATCATTCCTAAGTAGAAATACAGCTAAAGGTATAAGGTTGATGATAAAACTGGCAGATTAAGTAGCAGGAAGGGGCCTGAATATGTTATATTCGTTGGAGGAATTAAAGATAAAACTTTTTCTGAGTGATGAAACATGTCCAGGGAGAGTGGCTGAAGTGGAATGGGAATGAAATTCTTTGGAGTTGAAATAGCCAAGAAGCTTTGAAGGAAAGATGCTTTTTAAGATGAAGTAGCATGAATTTTGAATTTAAATTCTGCATAGATATTGTCAGAATACCAAATAAAGGCAAGGAATACTATAAACAATATGCCAAAGTTACTGAGAACAGTAGGAAGCTGTCCTAGGAGGCAGTACATGGTGGTAGCTCATACTTGTTTAGAATAGTTAAAATCAAAGTTACAGAGTTGAAAACTTGCAGAGTCACTATAAAGAGCTGGGAGCAATTGTAGGAGGAAGTGTTAAATGGCTAAGTGAAAACCAACATTGCTGTTGAAAAAGATGCTAGAAGAAAACTGATGATTTACCCATAAACTTTGTAAGTTAATGTTCAGACAATATTAAATGGATTTTTAAATTTAGGCACAGCATGTCACCAAATATAAGTGATGTTCAAGAGTTGTCATCTAACTTGTCTCTGGCAAGGTACTCTGATTCTCTGTCACCCAGGACAAGTCTTCATTATGTAAGCTAAGTGCCCCATCACCAAGCATCACACAGCCCCTGCTGCTGAAAGATAGCAGTGCTCACCAGTCATCCTACAAGCAGAAGCACCTCTGTTCACAGAACTTCCTTGAGGGAGTTTAGAAATAAGTATTCGCATCACCTATTAATCCTCATAGGAATTTTCTTGTGTTAATATAAATATCGATTATGGTCTTGCAGTTTAACTTTCTAAATATGCTCCAGGATCATTGAGAGAACCAGAACATTTGCATGCAGAGTAGCACTAAGAAATGGTGTGAGGGAACTTGCAGAAAGAAAGAGCAGAAAGATCTGCAAGGACTAATCAAGTCATTTTTATTTCTTAAACAAAAATTGCTGTTTTCCAGAATAGCTCATGTTTTGATTACCGCAATCTCAGCAGTATAACTTTTGAAAATCTTAACTAAAACCTTTTCCCCCTCTTTTTAAGAGAGATTCCCCTGGAACTTCAACGACTGGTTCATGGTGGCCAAGTGAATTTGGATATGGAGGATCATCAGGATCAAGAATACATAAAACCTAGATTGAGGTTCAAGGCTTTTAGTGGAGAAGGGCAAAAACTTGGAAGGTAAAAATTCTGCAACAAGAAAGATACTTCTTCATGCTACGTGAATTTTCTTTGAAAATGAAAAAAGTAAAATGATCTGTGAAGTAAAAACTTTAATATGGATGCTGGGGTATGGCTCAAATAGTAGGCCACCTTCCTAGCAAGCATGAGACCCTGAGTTCAAACCTCAGTACTTCAGGGGAAAAAAAAAAAAAGAAAAGAAAAAATAAATGTGCACTATAAAGTTTTTCCTTGCGGAATTAAATGTGCAAATCTGGTTTAACATTAGTTAGTATTTAAACAGCAATTACTGTTTTTCTGGTTCTCTAACCACTTTACATGCATTAGCTTATTTAATAGCAACCCTGTCATTGTTTTTTTAAGGATATAATTTATCAGTTTATTGAGTTCATTCTAGTGAGCAAATGTACACAAAATAGATTTTTTAATGCTTTTTTTCAAATAAATTTAAAAAATAATATATCTTGTGTACATAGGTACCACTTTATTATTTTTTTATTATTATTCATTTATTCACAGGTACATACAATGTTTGGGTCATTTCTCCCCGCTGCCCCCGTCCTCACTATCTCTTCCCTTTCCCCCTTTGTTCCAGACAGGTCCTGTTCTGCCTTTATCACTAATTTTGTTGAAGAAAAGAGACAGCCATAATAAGGAAGACAAAATGTTTTTGCTAGTTAAGGATAGCTATACCAGAAATATTCCTAGCATTGCTTTTATGTACATGTGTTATGACCCATGTTGATGTCATCTCTAACTGATCTTTACACTGGTTACTGATCTCCTCATGATAACTTCTGTCACTTTAAGGTTTCTGTATTAGTTCCTCTGGAGTGGGGACATCCAGCGCTTTCATGTTTTGGGTTTTCTACCTATTACTATATCTCCATATGTGCTCTGACCTTGTCATGTGATCTCAGTCCAACCACATTGCTGCATTTGCCCTAGATCTAAAGTCCACATATGAGGGAGAACATACGATTTTTGGTCTTCTGAGCTTGGCTGACCTCAATCAGAATGATGTTCTCTAGTTCCATCTATTTACTTGAGAATGATAAGATTTCATTCTTCTTCATGGCTAAGTAAAATTCCATTGTGCACAAGTACCACATTTTCTTGATCCATTCATCAATAGTGGGGCATCTTGGTTGTTTCCATAACTTGGCTATTGCAAATAGTGCTGCAGTAAATATGGCTGTGCAGGTGCCTCTGGAGTAACCTGTGTTGCATTCCTTTGGGTATATCCCCAGGAGTGGAATTGCTGGATCATATGGCAGGTCTATGTTTAGATTTTTAAGAAGTGTCCAAATTTTTTTTCCACAGTGGTTGTACCAGCTTGCATTCTCACCAGCAGTGTACCAGGGTTCCTTTTTCCCCACATCCTCACCAACACATGTTGTTGGTGGTGTTTTTGATGATAGCTATTCTAACAGGGGTGAAGTGGAATCTTAGTGTTGTTTTGATTTGCATTTCCTTTATGGCCAGAGATGGTGAGCATTTTTTCATGTGCTTTTTTGCCATTTGAATTTCTTCTTTTGAGAAAGTTCTGTTAAGTTCAGTTGCCCATTTTTTAATTGGTTCATTGATTTTAGGAGAATTTAGTTTCTTAAGTTCCCTGTATATTCTGTTATCAGTCCCTTGTCTGATGTATAGCTGGTGACTATTTTCTCCCACTCTGTGGGTGGTCTCTTCAGTTTAGAGACCATTTCTTTTGTTGTGCAGAAGCTTTTTAATTTTATGAAGTCCCATTTTTCCATCTTTCTCTTAGTTGCTGGGCTGCTGGGGTTCTATTGAGGAAGTCCTTGCCTATACCAATTAGTTCCAGAGTGTTTCCTGTTCCTTCCTGTAGTAACTTCAGAGTTTCAGGTCTGATATTTAGGTCCTTGATCCATTTTGAGTTGATACTAGTACAGCAACTGTGTCATTTGTAGAAATTGTTATTACTCCATTTCATAGTTGCAATAATTTGCCCAAGATGATTGAGCTAGGAGATGGCTAGCATTGTGTGTGGGGGTTCAAACCCAGGCACTCTGGTGGCTTTTCACCACCATGCCATATGGTAAATTGTAAAGGGTTGTTAAATAAGTAAAAGAGTGGACACCTTAAATCATAGTTTTAAGCACGCATGTTAAGTGAGGAATGACTATATTTTCTCATTATGCACATTTTCTCATATACTTTCATCCCTGTATTAGCTATAATACCTTATGCAATGTACATTATGTGAATTTTCATTATACTGTATTGGTTAGGGGATAATGACAAGAGAAATATCTGCATATGTTCAGTACAGGCCCCTTTTTTTTTTCTTTTTGAGAGAGGGTCTGACTATATAGCTCAGGTTAGCCTCAAACTCTTCATCCTCTTGCCTCAACCTCCAAGTACTGGATTACAGGCGTGCACCACCAAGCCTAGCTTGCAATTTGTTTTCCCAAGAATTTTCTAACCACAGTTGGTTGAGTCCATAGATGTGGAATCCTTGGATATGGAGGCAAATTGTATATGTTTGTTAACTAGGTGGAAGGGCAGAATCATATAAAATCAAAGCTGTAGGGAGTCTGAGAAATACAGTGTTTTAATTTATCAGCTTCTAATACACAGGAAAAAATAGGAGATTAATGTAATGGTGTGAGCCTGTATGCTCATGAATTAAAATATTTAATAAGCAAGTATTATGTATTCTTTATAAAGTAAAGAATTGCATAGAACATTTTGCATTAAGATTTACATGAAATATATTAAGAGCCTGGGAATATAGCTCAGTTGTGGAGTACATAAGGCCCTGGGTTCAATTTCCCAGCCGCCACTTCTCCCCCCAACAAAAAAACAAAAGATAGTAAGATAAAAGTTTAACAGCTAACTTTCATCTGTTTAGAAGTAACTTTCTAAAATGGCTCTTTCCTCAAGGGTTGCAGATGACTGTTTATGGTCAGAGAAATAAAAAGAGGGGAATAATTTATAGAAGGCAGCAAATTACAGCACGCTGTAGAGATAGAAACTAATAATGGTTTGTTGTGATACACCAGTAATTATAGAGTGACCCTAAATACAATAGAAATATTAGCCAATCTTCTATAATAGAAGCAGCAAATCACAGATGCAAAACTGCAAATTTATAATGATAGAAAAAAACATATTAAATAAAATTTAGCTTGGTGTGAAGTAGAGTTGAGCCCAACAAGTAAAAGACCTAGAAAATCACAGACTTAAGTTTTGACAGAAAGAGTAGTGAGTAGTCACTGTAGGATTTTGAACTGGTGTGTATAATGATAAAAGACATGATTTGAAGCAGACCTCTCTATGTGCTTAATCACAGTCCCTGCCTGTTTTCATACCATTCATTCAGAAGATTCTCTTTGTTACTCTGACTCATCCAACCACTTCATCTTTGTCCCTGGACCCTTGTCCCTTCCTTTCTGCCTTTCCTTTTCTGCTTATCTCAGTTCTTGGGCAACCCCTCACCTGGCCTTCGCTATTGAATCATCTGTCACTGTGTGTCCATGCATTGCTGGGAACAGTCAGCCATGCTGGCCAGGCAGTAGTGCTGCTCCTCCTCCATTCACACCGGGCTGACCCCAGAGACTCCCTGCTTCCCTAAGCTCTCATTCTGCCCATACCCCTCACCTTTAGCAGATTGCTTTGCTTCAGTTTAACTGAGTAAGTATAGTATGACAGGAACTTTTAATGTGTTATCTTCAGTCTCCAAGTTCATTAATGTCTGTGTCCACCCCCCCTTAAGTTTGAAGAAAAAGGTGTTTGTCTTCTATCTGCAGGAATTACAGCCCACATTCTTTCCTCTGGTTTGCCTAGAAACCTTGTTTTATTAATTAACTTCTCACTCTGGTTAAAATTTTTTTCTTCCTGAGTGAAATTTTGTTGTTTGCAGGTAAATGGATGGAACTGGAGAAATCATCTTAGGTAAGGTTAGCCAGGTTCAGAAAGCCAAAGGTCTCATGTGTCCTCTCAAATCTGGAATTTAGGCCAAATACAACTACATACAAATATATAGAGAGAACATGTATACAAAAGTGGGACTGGTAAAGGAGACCAAGGAGGAGGAAAAGAAAGAGCGAATAATTATGAAGTACATCATATCTGCGTAGGAACAAAACACAAGGAAACATGCTGAAAAACTGTTAAACAACACAGAATTTGGGGAAAAAGGTGAGGAAGTTCAGTGGAAGGGGGTTACATTGACTTAAGTACAACACATGTACAGGTATAATACCAAGGTAAAAATCTCACTGAACAAGGAAGAGATACCTAAACAATGACAGACAAGAATGAAAAACAGGTCACGCTAAGGGGAGGGCACTAATGGGAGAAGAAAGTGAATATGGTTAATATACTTTCTATACAAGATTGAATATAGAATTTTTAAACCTGCTGAAATCACCATAAGGGGAGTAAGGTAGAAAGGAGAAAAATGGAGGGGATGAACCAATTTGAGATACAAAACATGTACATGGAGATGTCGTGATGGAACTCCCTTATAGATATCTTAAATGAACAAAAATGGAGGACGGAAGGTAAAGATCCTGTCTAGGCATTGATACCAGTGGGAGGGGGAAGGATATGGTGGAAATATTATGTACTCATGTATGAAAATGAAAAATGAGACCTGCTGAAACTCTTCTAAGAATGGAGGAGGGAGTAACACACACGCACAGGAAATCAATGTGAGTCAACGCCCTGTATAGCTATCCTTATCTCAACCAGCAAAAACCCTTGTTCCTTCGTATTACTGCTTATACTCTCTCTACAACAAAATTAGAAATAAGGGCAAAATAGTTTCTGCTGGGTATTGGGGGGGGAGAGGGAGGGGGTGGAGTGGGTGGTAAGGGAGGGGGTGGGGGCAGGGGGGAGAAATGACCCAAGCCTTGTATGCACATATGAATAATAAAAAAAAAAAAGAATGGAGGAGGTGAGTTTAACTAAGATGTATTTATTGTAAGTACTTTTGTAAATGTCACATTGTACCCCCAGTACAACAATAATACGATAGTAAATTTTTCTTTTTAATGTGAGCTTGGATGAATTGAATAAGGGGAAGGTTTTAAGCAGCAAAGAAGTATGACATTGAAAATTAAATATTAATGTAAGTTTTTTAAATGGTTTTTTTATTACCATACTGCCAGCTTAACTACTGTATCTCTCTGGCTCTGAGTATGCATTTTAATCTGTGAGTCAGTTCTTTTCTAGTGCAGTGATATGGCTGGCCTATGTTGTCTTGCAGTCCATCTGTTCCAGTTCTCAAGTGTTGCTATTTCATATTTCATTTTTTTTTACAAAAAAAATATGAAGTGTTCCTCATCTAGATTCTTCACCTTATACTTTACTTTTATGTTTGTGAAGAAGTTTGCCTGGTCAGAATCTATCTTAAAACAGGCAGCATTAGATTATGGAAACAGCAATATGAGGTAGCTTTGTGTCATGGAGAGGAGCCCAGAATAAACTGCCTTCTCATTTGGGCAGTGGGGGTTATGGGGATAACTTTTCCTTCCAGAGTTATTATAAAGATAATAATTGCAATGCTAATAGTCCACCTTTAAATATTACCAACTACATAAAGACTTTGTTGAAATTTACTTTGTGTATAACGAATAAGATCTTTACAATAGTACTGCTGTTGTCTCTTCAACCAACAAGGAAACTCAGGCACAGAGAGGATAAGCGATTTGCCCAAAGTCACATATCCAGTAAGCAGCAGTCAGGATTATAACCAGTCAAGGGCAATCTGGCTCCAGGATCCATGCTGTTAACCATTATACAACACTGTCTCACAGGGTGATTTAAATGAAAGTGAATACAGTGATGGTGGGAGTGATAATGATAATACCAATGTGTGTATCTGGTCATTAGTGTTGTAAAGAAAATCCTCTGCATGCTTATGTTCTTTGTCTGATTTTCTTCCTTTGCCCTGTGTAAGAGGCCCCACACTGTTGAGATAGTAAACCAGCTTCACAGTACAACTATGTAAACCCTCAATTCCGATCTTGAGACAAAAAAAAATTTTTAGTAGTAATTTATTGTAAGTTGTCTTTTTCTCCTTTTTACTATATTGGCCTTATATATTATCAAATTGATTCTAAATCTGTGTCAGGAATTAGCAAAAGGGAAGTGTTGGCAATAAATAATTATTCATTATTTTGAGAGCAACATTTTGGATAGGAGTAAGAGTTGTGATGGGTTCAGTTTACCTTGCATTAAAGCTCAAATGCTTTTTATACTTTTTATACTTTTATACTCCTAAAATAATTTATAGGAAGGCATCTAAATTATAGTATTTGAAAGTGCACATGAAAGTTGTTAAGATGACTAAGAGATTAGATTTTAACATCTGAAAAATTTCACTGAATTTGTTTTAATCTTAACCGAAAGAACACTGTGCTTTTGAAATTAACTTTTAGCTTAAAATTATTGATCATCTTGCTAGCATTAGTAGGTACTAAGAAATCAATAGGGTCACTAGTAATCAAGGTCAAATGGTAAGATGTTCTGTCTGATATGCTTGATTATAAATTCATCATGAATAAAATTTCATTTGTGGCTAATACTTTGGAGTTACTTCTTTATTGCAAAACAGTAACTACTTAAATGTTTGTAAATAATATTAACCAAGTTTAATTGTTTGGTGCTGATAATATGTGTAAAAGTAGATGGCACTTTATGAAACATAATGCTCGAGGCACTATAGTAAGAACTTACACTTGTATGATAGTTTACGCTCTGATTTTATATATGATAGAACAAGGATTCAAAGAGATTAGTTTATTTAAGTTTGATTTGAAGTCAAGTCTATCTATGCTTATTTTGATATAACGCAGGAGACTGGAAGAAGTAGAAGAGACTCAAATGAAGCTCTGCTCTTGTTTGTCCAGAAACCATGCAAGGAATCACTTGAGTCAGCTGTAGACCTAAGTCTTAATGTCTTCAACACAGCACATCGTGTCTTAACATGCTCAAATGTGTACAACTAATTCTTAAATTATTCTTTTTTTTAGCCTCACCCCTGAAATTGTTAGCACACCGTCCTCCCCAGAAGAAGAAGATAAGTCAATACTAAATGCAGTTGTTTTTATTGATGATTCAGTGCCGACTACAAAGATTCAAATCAGGTTAGCAGATGGGAGCCGTTTGATACAAAGATTCAACAATACACACAGGTAAGCTTCTTTAGTAGTAAAGTGTCCAGTTGCTGTCACAGATTGTTACTTAACATAGGCAAACTACAACTTGATGAATGTATAATATGAAATTCCTTTGATTTACTTTTCACATGAGTTTTGGATAGGAGAAAGGTTAATAGTCATGTGTAATAAATTAAATAGATGATAAACAGTCCTTGTTAATCATCTAAATATTAATGCACATTCAGACCACTCAAAAATAAATTAAGAACTGTAGTTTTGCATTGTTACTAAAACCATATGAAGTGGAATCTGATTTAATTTAATACAGCAAATCTTATTTGGACTTTACTCATTTAAAAAATGTAATAATAATTCTACACTGAACATGGTGCTGCATGCCATCTGATCCCAACACTGGGAGGCTGAGGCAGGAAGATTAGGTGTTCAAGGCCCTGGGCTACATAGTATGACCCTATCTCAAGAAATAACAAAAAAGTTTTTTTGTGATAATTCCGGTTAGCATTGGAAAACTTTCTGTATAGAACATTCCTCATGATATAAACATATAGTGTAAATAAAGTTGAATTACGTTGTTGTCAAGTGTTATACTTCATATAAAGTGTTTTAAATATCCCTTTAATATTCCTCTGTACACTAATGTTTGTTATGCACAGGAAATGCTTTTCATTAAAGCAAGACCCAAACAGATACATTTATTATCTTAATTGTTACATATATTTTAGAACAGTTTTTTTTTTTTAATTATTCCTTTTTTGGTGTGTGTGGGTCAGGGTCTTCCTATGTAGCTTTATAGCCCAGGCTGGCTGTCAACTCATGATCTCCTGCCTCTTAATGACTTCCACTTTTCATAGTTTCAGATTCACCTCTCCATATACAAATCCAAGTGACCTGGAGTCTGAAAAAAGTATTATATAATGATATTGTTAAGACTTTGTACATAACTCACTTGAAAATTGTTTCTATTTTACAACAGAAATCACACTCCAAAGTTAATCTTTATACTTAAGATAAATTCTCCAGTTGAAGTTAATACAAATTAAAGAAATAACACCTTTAAATAAGAGTTGGAATCATGTAATTTTTTTATGCTCTTCAAAAGCTTGCATGGAAATACATCTATTCTATAACAAATTATTTTTATCTTTTCATTCTTCAGGATCCTGGATGTTCGAGAATTTATTGTACAGTCCCGTCCTGAATTTGCAGCTCTTGACTTTATTCTTGTGACTTCATTTCCAAATAAAGAGCTAACAGATGAAAGCCTGACACTACAAGAAGCAGATATTCTTAACACTGTGATTCTCCAACAACTAAAATAAGATTGCTTCTATCCATGCAGTAGCATGTAAGAATAGTGTGCCATATTAATAAGAAAAATACTTTCTGCATAAAAACAACCAAATTGCTTCTATTATTACTTCAGATAAATTTTGGTTTTGTTGTTATTCTATCTTCCGTCCTTAATATGGATAAATTTGGACTAGGATAGATGTTGAGATAAATGTGTTTGATTTTAGTTTCAGGGCTGGTTTATGTTGATAACTTTTAAATACTTAGGTCAAACAACTTGTTACATGCTCAGTGTTAATATAACAATATCCATTTGCAGACAAAATGAACAAAACACCTGTTTGATAAATGCACTTGGTAAAATTTGCACTAACGTTTCTTATTGCAGAAATGACCAACAGCCATTAAGAATCCTTTTGATCAAATAAGATGAAAATTTTTCTGTAATATATATTGCAAAGCCTCTGTACTGTATTTTAAAATTGTTTGACCAAACAATAATTATCTCTCCTATTAAGATTTTACACATCCTTTTTACTTACTGATAGAGCTGTTACTAGTATCACAAAATATACTTTGGCCTTGTATTTTATGATAGTATTTAACTATCATAAACTAAAATCAGAAGACATAGGTCAGCAGTTCTTGTGAAAATATGACAAGCAACATTTAAAATCACATAATCACAGTTCCCTCAAGAGTCTGTCTTGATCACACTCACTCACTTAACAGAATTTTCTAGTATTCATTTTATTCCTTATGCATATAACACTGTTCTACTCTTCATACCAAGCACTGTTCTAAGTGCATAGCGCAGAATATAGTCTGCTCCAGTGCAAAACTACTGTACAAACACAGGAATGTAAGTTCAGATAGAATGAATCTAAATAATTATTAGCATTAATGTTTGTATTTCTACTGAGGCCAAGTATTTCTTGAATGAGGTTAGGAATGATAGAAAATCTTTTCTTTTTCCTAGACACCACTTCATCTTTTGTCACTACTTCTGATTAATTTTTTTATTGCTGCCATAAGAAATTACAAAATTTGTTGCTTGAAATAACACAGATTTATTATGTCACAAATTTATAGGTTAAAAATTTGTAATACTACCTTATAAGTTAGCATTTCACTGTGCTAAAATCAAGGCATAGGTGGGACTGCATCCCTTGTAGGAAGGGGCTCTATGGGATAATCATTTCCTTGCCGTTCCAGCTTCCAGAGACTACCTGCATTCCTTGGTTTATGAAGCCCTTCTTCCATCTTAAAAACCAGCATATTGCATTTCTGACACTTCCATCATAACATTTAAGGACGTATGTAATTAGATTGGGCCTGCCAATCTAATATTAATAGGATTATCTCCTCATCTTAAAATGCATAGTAATCTTAATCACATCTTCAAAGTTGCTTTTACTACTTACAGTTACATATTCATGTGGTTTGAGGATTAGGAGGTGAACATTTTGGGGAGTGAAGGAGATATGCATGTCTACCATAGTCCACCTCTGTCTCAAAAAATTTCATATTCATCCCAAATTAATGTTCCTTGTCCAAAGGTGCTCAAAAGTCTCAACGTATTGCAACATCAACTCAAAGTCTAAAATGTTACCTGAATTTCACCAGCACCCAAATCTAATTTAAATCATCTAAATTACATATGAGAGAATCTAGGTATGATTCCTGAGAATCTAGAAATAATGTAGTATCAGGACATTCCTGTTTAAGAAGCAGGAAATAGAATAAAAAACAGAGCCACTCATGCCAAGCAATGTGCAAATCCAACCAGGCCATTTCATTAGGTTTCAAAGCCCAGTATGAATCTATCTCACAGTTCAGTCCTCTGGGATTATGATTCCATCTCGGTCTTCATATCACCAAAACTAGTGCATATTTGCAGCTGAGTAGCTGTTATCAACTTGTTTCTTCCTTTTTTCATGTCATACTCCATACCTTTTCCATTTAAAATGGCAGAATTTCTGCTAGTATAATGTCAAGAAATTTATGGGAGCAGGGCATGGTGGAGCACTAAAATAATCGTGGCACTCAGGAGTCTGAGGAAGGAAGATTACCAGTTCAAGGCCAGCATGGGTTATATATATAGCAGGACCCTATGTCCAAAGACAAAAAGAATTTATGGATCTTTATGTCATGGGGGTTAGCCTCCCTGTCAGGCTCTTCCAAACAGCTTTCCTAGATAATCCCATTTGTCTTTGTTTTAAGAGATTTCCTGAAATCTTTGTCATGTCCTTCCTTAATCTCTTCAGAGTCTTTTCTGTGACGGAATACCTTTTGATTTTCTTGAAACAGTAGCAAAAGGGTATAAGTCACACCCTTGTCTCTTTCCATAGAGCAAGCTTTCCTGACAGGGTACCTCTTTAGTGTTTATCGCCATTTGGGTAGACAAATTCCTGAAGTCCTGGTTGCTTTGTACTACAATCTTTTCACATTATTCTACAATCAGCAAGAAGAAAGCAAGTCATACCTTCACTGTTTCCTTAGAAATCTCTTATCATTGACAATTTCTGCTTTGCACATAGCTACACAATTCAACTAAGCTTTTTTGCAACTATATGGTAACAATTCTGCAGTTTTCTATAATGTATTCTTCATTGTCTTCTGAGTCCTCAATAGCAACACCTTTAATATCATTTCTACTAACTGTTCATAGCTATTTAAATATTCTTTATGGTGATTTAGGTATCTCTACTAAATTCCTTACTACTTTCTATTCTGCCCTACCATTAACTTCCATAATTCTCATGTATTTCTAAGGTAATTTAGGCCCTTTCTGCTGTGCTCCTCAAAATTCTTCCAGCTTCTACTGCTGCTCAATTCCAGTGCCACGTCTTTTGGAATTTGCTACAGTAGCACCTCACTGCCAGATAGCTAGAAATATTTTGTGCCTATTTACTGCTAGTTGATTTGAGTATGTTACTAGGATATTTGGTAGTCACATAGCTCTGTTGTGACTGATTATTTCAAAGAGGTAAAATAAGGGATTTTGGGTTTTTTGGGGGGTTTTTTTGGTGGGATTGGGGTTTGAACTCAGCTTCGTGTTTATAAGGCAGGTACTCTACTGCTTGAGCTACACCTCTAGTCCATTTTGCTTTGGTTATTTTGGACATGGGGTCTCTTGCACTCCCAGGCTGGCCTGGAACCTTAATCCAGATCTTAGCCTCACAAGTAGCTAGGTGTGAGGTGTAAGCCACTGGTGCCCCAGCCTATACTATGTTTTAAGTGGAGCAAAATCATCTTCCTAAGGAAATGATTTCTTGAAAGAAATGAACATTTAAAATAAAAGGGCATTACCCTGTTTTGGATTGACGAAACAGGAAAAAAATTAACCAAACCTTGTAAAGTTATTTGAAATTTTCTTGTAGGTTCTTTTTATGATTTAAATGGAGTGCCTATAGATGCACACACAAAAAACAACTGCCATTTTTGTATATAAGTCTTCCAAATACAGGTAACCTACTTTAGGAGATTAACTATCTAGAAGAGATGACCAATACTTTAACATGTGTTGCATAGTGTCTTGCTTCATTGGGAGTCATTTTTCTACTGCACTCACTGTAATTTAAAATTTATAATCATCTCAAGAAAATCACAATGAGCAGTTAGACAAGCATGTGAGTCATTCTGCATGATGTATGTAATGTCAAAAGTGGAAGTGTCTGCTTACCAATAAAGGTTTCATTGAAAATATTTTTCAAAATTTCTTTAATGTGCACTTTTACTTGAGTGATTGAATAGTTTATTTTAAACCTGAGTAACTTTTCCTGTGGTTTAATTTTCTTTTGAATCCTGTTTGGAAACGGTGAAGGACCTGAGTTGTGGTAATGTTATCTCAATTTTCCATTGTTGTTTCTGTGTTTATTCTTCCCATATAGAAAGATTCAGGGTGCTGCTTAACTTTTTGCCATCATGGGTTTCTGAAAATACTGTCAGAAAGTATATTGTTATCAAGTGCATTGAGATTTCCCCTTTGAGAGTTTGTGTTCCTGAATGATGAAGCAAATTAACGTATTTGTGACTAATACTGTCTTTAAATTTTTTCATATTCTTCTATACAATTTTTAAAGTATCTTCTAATCCAATTAAACAGCCTGTAAAAGGAGCCACAATGCATGTGTGTAACAATGTGTGTGTTTGAATAGCACATGAAAATGATTTCTGGCCTAGAACTAATAACTGGTTCTGAAGCCAGAGTTTTAGGCCCCATGCACAAACTCCAAGGAGTTCCACATGTCAGGTTCAGCAACTCGCCAAACATGCCAAATAGAGTGATGAGTAATGGTGAAGGCAGAGAACAGAGAATTTGAAGTGGCACAGGCTGTGGGCACCACAGGAAGAAGTGCCTTAGCTCATGTTTAGCCATCTTCCTTTACAGACATGAGCTTTAGGTTTACATAGCAGAGAGTGCAGGCAAGAGATGAAAGGTCTGCATAGTTAAATAGTCCCTGTCACAGGTATGGCCCGTTTATTATCTCAGTCCTCATTTTTGGAAATCTGGTCAAGACAAGTCTTTCTTGCTTGACTAGTGGTCAGTCCTGAAGAGGTTTTGCTGTTTTCTTAGCGGCAGTTTTCTCAACCCCTTTTTGTGAGCATGTTACTCAGCTGTCCTGTCCTTCCTGGATTCCAAGGTGATTGACAAGTGACTACAGAGCCAGCTCAGAGCTAAGACCACAGATACAAAATGGAGACAAATGTCACCCTTTTTTCCTGCTTTTAGTTAATTCATGGGCCCAAGTAAGGAGTCAGTGCTTTTCAACAAAAGTTGAAGTACCTGTAATAGCTGTCATACATTTAAATTAACAGTTTGCCACTTAAAAGTTTATCTGGGGCTGGGGAGAGGACCTTTTTTAGGAAGTTTGAACTTAATGACTTATTTTCCTTTAGATAAATGTTTCTACATGAAGCAATGAGATTCAGAATTATTCTAGGCAGCTGTTGCCTTAAGAGTTCCCTTGAACACTGCAGTTCATTTCAGAGGACCTCAGTGGCACAATTCCAAGTGCAGCTACTCAAATGAAAGTCA